CAAAATAAATAAATAAATAAAACAGTGATTTTGTGCCATAGCTATATAGGCAAATAAGGAAGTGTACTAAAAGATGTTGTAAGCATACATGTGCTACAAACTTCCTATTGTGCTGCAATTGCACAGGAGAATGGAAAGTTGTACCGTCGTTTCAGCTTGCTTTTCTAAAAAAGAAAAGCCATGTTCTTTTGTGCAATTATATACATGTGCTGATTTTTTGAAAGCTGTATGGTATAATATCATTGCTATTCCACTTTGTTTTGTTTTAAGCTCCACGGTTGCATGTACATTTGAGCAGCTGTGTTGAAGTTTGCTTTCTAATCTTAAAACATAAGAGTGTCCGCTGAATAAATGTTCGCTATAATTTAAATATCACAGCTTAGCTTCTTTCCCATTCCTATGATTAGAAGGAACAGATGTTATATCGAGCTCTGTTACATTCTTCATGAAATTCACCTGGATATGCTAAAACTATACAGAGAAGCTGATGGATGCAGATTTTCTTAAGGAACTCGTTTCCCAATTCAACTTTCCATGATGTAGATTTGAGGAGGAGGAGGAGGAGAGAGAATGTCTCCTCTGCAGAGGCATGAGTAGCATTCTTATTAGATGCATTTTCCATTCAAATCTGTGCTTGAAGTTATGTTTACAGGCCCTCCTCTTTCCTCTTGTGCAGGCTCTTTCAGGAAGCCATTGGTTCTATGCCAGGTGCAAGACGCTTTCTAGAAAGGTTGGGGCTTCCCATTATTCTAAACCAGTGTTTTTCAAATTTGGCAATTTTAAGACCTACGGACACTCACTCTTTCTCAACCAGCAATTCTGGGAGTGCAAGTCCACATAGCTTAAATTTGCCAAGTTTGAAAAACACTGTTCTGCATCATACCAAGACAAACTCATGGTGACCTGGAATGTCAGTATGTGGCCAAGGCATAGAGAGTGAAATTGAAGCACTGGCACCTTGCATTTGGAGCCCTCTGGGATGAGCAAAGACTGAGGTGGAGAGGAAGTGGCTGATGTTACAACCGAAAGTCTTGAAGAGAGGAGAAACATTAAAAAACTGAATTTCCAAGGGTGAACTGGGACCTCTTTTTTCTTTGTTTGTAATGTTTTATCATAAGTTTGCAGGTGGTAGTTGCATTGGGTTAAGACAGGGGTCTTCAAACTTGGCCCTTTTATGACTTGTGGACGCTGGCTGAGGAATTCTGGGAGTTGAAGTCCACAAGTCATAAAAGGGCCAGGTTTGAAGACCCCTGGGTTAAGGTGCCTTTAGCAGCAAAAACAAGGGAAAATCTTATCATAGTTTGTTAAACAGTATTTTAAGCTGCCTTGAGAAGGGAAACTCCCCCTCCCTCAAAACACAGAACTAATAAATGGCAATTACTTTCAAGCATGGAAATCTTTTCTTCTTGATTCCAAGTTAACAACTTTCATCTAAACCCAACATCTTGCAAGTATGAGCTAATACTGAGCTACACCTATATAAGTAGCTGACTCTTGCATAACTTTGCTAGCAAGATTAGCTAGAAAAGCTTAGATGAGGAACTATACTGATGTTGAAGTTTTCAATAGCTCTCCATGGCCCACAGTCTGATAAAGGATGAGTTAATGGTCACCAAGGACCTACAGCCCATCAAAACCTTCCTCACAGGCTTTCCTCACAGACATCTATAAACAACTGAATATAACCTGATGGGATTGAGATTCATTTATATTCACACCCTAAATTCTCCTCTCACCTCTGAGATTTTTTTTGATTCTTCAAGTTTTGTTCCTAAATATTTTCCTTATCTTTCACAAATCTACCTTTCTTACATTAAAAATGTAAAAAACATGCTGAGCCAGCAAAAGAAATTCCATAATATTTCTCCCCTGGAATCACAGTGTGCTTCTTTGTCCAATTACGAATACCATAAGAGATGGATGCAGATTCTGAAAGTAGAACATAGAAGACAAACAGGATTAAATTAATCCAACCGTATGATTGGTTTTGATTTATTTGATTTATATCCCGCCTTTGTATTTTATATCATATTTATGATTGCAAGCTGCCCAGAGTTACTCTGAGATAAGATGGGCAGCCAATAAATTTTACAAATAAATAAATAAAATATTGTACAGTTCAAAGCAGCCTACTTAATGCTTGTTCATCCTCTTGTTTCCTCCACAAACACAACTGTATAAATTGGGCTGGGCTGAGAGAGAGTAATTGTCTCAAAGTCACCCAGCTGTGTTTCATGCCTAAGGCAGGACTAGAAGTCACAGTATGCTGGTTTCTAATCTGGCATTCTAACCACTGTACCACACTAGCATTTTAGACTGGATTGTGGGGTTCACTTCTGTTGGCATTCAAAATCATCTTCTTCTGGAAATTCTAGCAGTTTCAAACCTTCCAAAAACTGTTTTAATACGTTCCCTTCTGGCAGCTTGAAATCTTCCAAGAAATGTCTCAGTATGTTCCCTGAAATGTCTGAATTCCTAGCTCATTCCTCCATGGATAGCTTCCAATTTTCCATAGAAGTTTTGTTTTAGTCATGGAGGATCTAAGGCTCAAATAATCCAAAACTAATTTCTCCACCAGATCCTTCCTCAGGGAAGAGATGTTCACAGAGGAAGGGCATGCTTGGGGCATAAACAAACGACGTGTGACTCCTGATGGCATTTCGAATACAGCAGAAATCCCACTGCATTCCTTAACATCTACTTGCACGGCAATTCTCAGAATGACAGATTTCTTGAAATATTGTCATCCAATCCTAGCCATTTTTTAAAATCCTCTTTTTGTAAGTCATTGGCAAACAGTTGCCCATCTTTACATTTTAACCTGTTGCATCTGACCAATATAAATATATTTGTAGACATGTTTTAATCTTTCTGTTTCTTCCCCCGTCTTTGAGCTTTGGAGATATAACCAGATATCAATAAAATCTGGACACTGTTTACTGGCTTTAGTGAGGGAGGGCTAATCCATGGACACTGAGAAGAAAAAGAGCTGCTGGGCATGAATTTCTTGTGGTCTGCTGCCCTCTGCTGTTTTTATATATAAAGTGGGAAGGATATTTTAAAATTTGATTGAAGACCAGCTGGGTTGGATGAGTCTTCATTTTGGAGGGGTTCCAGATAGAAAATTCCCAAGGTTAGCAATAAGAGACATTGTGCAGCTTGTTCTTTCTTAACTGATTTTATCCAGGAAACAAATAGGAAAAAAAACCAGTATTGGGAAATACTGACTATTGGAATTTAACAGAGATAAATAAGATAAAACAGTGATAACATATAGTAGATAGTAGATAAATTGTAAGTGTGTGTGGGGCTACCCACCTCACCCTTGTGACTCTGAGCAGCAAACAGCAGTTAAAAACATTAAATACAGGTCAGCAGCTAAAGTAAAAATCATCACAACCATCAACATAACCATCCCATAGGTGCCCCTTTCCTTCCCTCCCTCCTCCTCTTTCTCTCCACATACACATATACACAGTCCTTATTTAGTGACTATCTTGCTTAAGTGTCTGTATGCAGTTAAAACAATGATGAAAATGTAATTTTATAACCCAGTTCTCACATTTATGACCTCTGCAGGCCTGTAAAGCAAAGGAAAGCAGAAATAAGATCATAAGTCAATGTTTCACTTAGCAGCTGCTCCCCTTAGTGATTGAGTTGTCGGTCCCAGCTAAACTAGATAACTAAATGAGGCCCATCTCTGTGTATGTGAATATGTGTATGCATACATGCATATGTACAGTACATATACATATTATATAGAGAAAACACCTCTGTTATTTATATAGAACTACTGTAACCAGGATCAAAGTACTGGTTTCCTCCCTTATTCTGACACTGTTTCAAGGTGTGAAAAACCCATTGGTCTTTGTCAGCCATTGCCTTGAAAGAATCCATGGGGCTGCAGTGGTTTGAAAGAGAAGTAAAGGAAGCAGGATAGGGATCAGCAATGGGGAAAGCAAATTTCATTCAGTTTGGGGCCAATTCAAGGATGCCTAGGAAGGGCTTCACCTGAAGAATGTTCAACTCAAAAGGATAAATTCCATAATAGTAGTCCCCAGTCAAGAGTCAATTGGTTGATTGGCAAGTGGGCAGGTCATTGACCAATGCTTTCCTCAATACAGTAGCACCTCTCAGAACAGCCAGCCACACAACTGAACAGCAGGTACCTTGGTCTCTTTAGGGAAAACATGCTCTTCTCCAGCAGTCCATCATTGCTTGACTGTCTGCTAGCAATCTCACATAGACTCTATGGGAAGCACTGTTCCCAGTGTGGAATCTGGAGAAGGGGAGGATCTGAGAAACTCCCAGCCCTTGATTTACTACTGCTTGTGGACCTCAGACTCTAAAAGGTTGCCAAGATCTGATTTACACTGCTAATCTTGCAGTCTCCCCTGCAGACTGAATTGTCCCCAAGCTACTAAAATTCATTCACTGTATAGCATTTGGTATGCATTCTCCATAAAACTTGAATAAATCTGTTGCAAATATTTGTATTAACTGACCTTTCTGTGGCATTCTTTCTTTGTGGCTTTTGTATCTTGGATGCTTGCTGTTTTATTTACTTGTTTTGAAGCTGATATACAATAACAAGTATGTGTGTGTGTTAAATCAGCTTAAGCTAAAGGTCAATAAATGACAAAGTCAGTGATTTAAGCTTGTAAAAGCAATCAGGCGCTGTAATTGCGCAATATTGTAACTTTGTTTTCAAAGTGGAATTTGGAATTTCCCTCACTTATTTGCTTCGCAGAAGTCACCTGACCTCTTTGGGGGGCGGGAAAAATCAGCCTTCCCTCTTTGGTTGATCTAGAGCTAGCAAAAATAAGACTTGTGCAACTGAATTATTTGAACATGGTTTTCTTTGGGCTGAATTATTTAAGGCTATGAGAAATGAAAGATAAAATGTTTAAACAGCAGAGGGAGACAGAGTTCCTTAACGAAGTTCCATTGTTTCTGATTAGAAATGTTGCTCAGAGCTGGTAGGGGAGAGAGTCAGAAGAGGCAAAGAGAAAGAGAGAGCCAGCTGCAGAGACCAGGAGTTAAAGGTAAATCACTCTCAATTTCCTTTTCAGAAATAGGTATCCCGAGTATCTGTTTTGGGATTAAGTTTTCTGGCAAAAATCTGCTCTAGCTTTCCTAATGTAAAAGAGGTGATGCTTCTTCAAAGAGATTCTACTGTTTGATACTTTTTTAGAAAGTGAGAAGTAACTTTACCGCAAGTTGAGCTCCACGCCTTATGGCTCTGAGCAGTCTCCGGTCACATTGTGCACCTTGTAAAATCCAACATACCTTTAGGACATGGTTTTACTTGTTAGTTGACAGTGAGAAATAATACATAGACAATGAATTCATACCAATTCCATTCTTTGGGAGCGGGATTTTCACTTGATTATTCTGTTGACCCAGCAGGCACACTTCAGGGGAGGAAACATCCCACTGAGCAGGGTGCCTGTGTTCTCCTAAATCTCACGATCCTGCGGCTTTGTGGAAGGAATAAGAATGGTGCTCTTACAGATATGGTAAGTTACTCAGTGAACAGAGGATTGTTGAACAAATAACTTGGGACTCTGGTTAGCTACTTTCTTTGCTGGAAGACCACTTCCAGATAAAAGTGGGGGTAGCAGAAAATGACCCACAATCCACTTGAGTAACTGCTCTTGCCAGGGCTCCCAGCTGCTCCCATCTCATGTGTAGGACCTCTGCTGCACACCCTCACTTAGCAGAGTGACTTTCCTGGCAGCTCTAGCTCATCTGGGTCAATAGTCAGGGCCAGGAAAAACTCCATTGTCCTTTGGAGGCTCTGAATCAAGTTGCTGTGACTGTTCCAGCCTGTGGTGTACGGGATGGAAAGCTAAAGTCTTCATACTATGTGCATTCTCCTGTGGTTTTCTGTGTGTGAGCCACTTGTGGAGTCACTTCTGTTCAAGATAAGCAGCAGATTCCTCCTCATGATCTGTTCTTTGGTTTTTGCACTGAAAAGGAGTGTGCAAGGACATTTCTCTCTTTCTTTTTCCATCAAGATTGAGGAGGTTGCAGGGGCGTTCAGATTGCACATGTTTGTGTCCCACCACCCATGCATTAGAGCTAAACCAACTATGGCTTAAGCAATGGGATATTATTAGCCCTGGATCTCTGGGCAAAGCCTAGGATGTCCAGGGGCTGAGTGTGAGTTTGACAGCCCTGCCCAATATTGATCTTTTCTCTTTTAGGAGCTTCATTGCCTTCCTCCTCCTGTCCTATACTGAGGCAGCATCCATGTATGGAGAAATTCTGTCTCCAAATTATCCTCAAGCATATCCCAATGATGCTCTGGAATCCTGGAAAATAGAAGTTCCTCCTGGTTATGGCATTCACCTCTACTTCACCCACCTGGATATAGAGCTATCTCAAAACTGCGAATATGATTTTGTGAAGGTACAGGGACATATTTCTCTGTTGGGAACCTGAGAGCGAAGATGTGTGTAGGCTGAGCTTTTCCAGGCTGAGTACTGGAACACCCAGCTAGGAAACTATTTCATGCAAGATATAAAACTTTTCTGGCGATGTGTAAAAGTTAAGGATATGGATTGTTTGAAGAGAGTTGAATATTGTTTCCATGCTAGGTCATACCTGTGATACAACTAATGAATTAACCACTAGTTGTTGTTGTTTTTTAAATTAGCTCTGAATTTTTATTTTGCCTGCTTCTGTATAGACGATTTCAGCTAAGTCCATTACGGTAACCTCAAATAGAAAATTTCTAGGACATGAATCCCTGTGCTAGACTGTTCTCTGGTTGTGTTCATAACTGGCACACAACCCAAATTGGGCAGAACGTTTCCAAGCTAGTGAGCTTATCTAATTTACAATATTCCAAGGACAGTACCTTCACCCCAAGTTCCAGACATGGCAGCCTTCAACCCTTTCATCTTGTCATGGTCTACTGTTGGCTTCTTGTTCTTTATCCCAGCATAATGGCATCTGGACACAGATCCAGCCTTTTCACAGCTCCTCCTGACTAAAAGCCTTCTGCATTCCCTCCTGGCAGGGATAGCTACATCACTCAAGGAATCGTGGCAGAGTGCCTGCTTGTGACCCTCTCATCCCTGTTCATGCTCCTGATTGCTTTTTCTTTTTTAAAGGCTATAGTATTTTTTTTTCTGTGGCCCAGCCATCTTCTCACTCATTTTTTTTATTATTGTACTTAGTGGCAGCAGCAGGAGATATGAATTCTTAGGAGAGGGGTCTCTGACTGCCATCTTAATTTCCCTATAATGTATGAAGATGGGGAAGGTGGGTAGTAAATTAAGATCTTAGTGTCTGCTGCTATCCTTAAATAGCAAGAATGTTTAAAATAAAGATCAGAGAAATGTTGAGAAGCATCCACTTACAGCTATTATCACTATGCTGGCCTAGTATAGCACATATCTGAATTCTGAAGAAATAGAAGGAAAGGATGATTGAATGATAAACTGAAGGCATGAACCATGTCTTATCCCAGCTTATGGGAAGGGAGTAGCTTCTAAAAGTCTGGACCTTTGGATGTTTATCTGGAGGCATGGGGAAGTGGAAGCAAGTGATGGATCGTGTGTTGTAATGTTGCAACCCAAACTCTACCTCTTATGAACTTACATGCAATGTCTTGATGCAAGTAAAAATGGATGGAACTTGTGTTATGATGTCACCATGCCCACTTCATCATTTGGATAACCTTGTGTGTTAGGAGCAGAGGCCTGTTCTTCAATGATTCTAGAAAAGCAGCCATTTTCTGAAAAAAAAACACCTTTGGGTGACAGGAACAAAAAAGGAAAGAAGGGCAAATATTGCTGGATGATATTCATGTCATTCAGACAACAAAATATATTTGGCGTACAGGGGCCATTTTGAAATCATGGTAAATGAGATGCAAAAAGGGCAGTTTTTACCTCAAACCTCCTCAGAGCATCCCAGCATATAAAAAGGAGGGAACCTTGTAGACTCTACTGCTCTGCGAGCCACAAAAGGGGAGTTGATGGGCTACATTTTTTGCATTCTGGCAATAGAGCATTGAGGAATTGCTGGAAAAGGCTGCTGCAATGAAACACAAAGATGATCTTGGATAATCTCTGCCGCAGCATTATTGTAGAAAAACATGTTTGAAGACCAGAAGGGGGAGGGGAATTCTAAAATGACTCCCCCTTGACTGTATTGGGTATAAGTTAGTCAATACACCTCCAGTCATGGAGTCTATTTCCTGACTTGGCCTCCCTTGAAGGGCTGGCACAGATATATGAAGGAAGGATGTTCTATGGGCCCAAGGAGGGTTTACAATGTTTTGGATAGAAATATAGTTGAACACAAGCTCTTATACTTGTTCATCTGATCCTTCCAGGTCCTGTCCGGTGAACAGGTGGAGGGTCAGTTCTGTGGGAGAAAAACAAGGCACACACGGGGCTCTCCTATCCTGGAAGAACTCCGCGTGCCCTACCATAGTCTGACTGTCCTCTTTCAGTCTGACTTTTCCAATGAAGAGAGATACACTGGATTTGCTGCCTATTACACTGCAATCGGTAAGCCCTTAGCTGCCAGGGGCAAAAGATCAGGACCACACATGATGTTCTGATTGAATTGATTTATTACCAATCATGCCTTTGGCACAAGAATCTATTCAACTAAGGTTAGCACTATCTTGTTATTAGATAAGAGTCAACAGAATTCAAGAAGGGTTGGACTTAATTTATTTGTGGCTAGTAGAAACCCTAGGTTGATTCCTGTTTTGACTCCATCCTCAGGCTCTGTCACTCCTTTTTCTACATTAGCTGCCTCTTCTGAGCACATAATGGTGTGTGCCTTGAAGAGAATTACCTAAACCAATATATATATATTTTAAAAATGGAACCATTTCTGTTCCTCTGAAAGAAGAAATAAAAACTCCCTGCACTATTTGAAAGCTCAGTCTTAAATCTGTTCATGATTAGGTTGCAAAAGAACAGGGTATTCAAAGCATTTATCATCTGTTGATTTTTTTAAACCTAAGCCAAACACTACTTTTCCTAACTCCCCTCTCCCCATACCATAACATGTAAATATTGGAAAGTATATCTGGGGGCTCATGTAGTTATCACTACAATTTATCTAAGTTATAAATTAGGAATTGTCAGTAATATTCTTTTGTTAAATGTGATCTGATAGATCCTAAGAGGTGGGATGCAGAAAGGATCCCAGCTTTCTCTCAGTGGTATCCATAGATGGTAAGAGACAGACCAAAGAATAGGAGTTGGCTAGTGATAAAATGATATATTACTATTTCATCACTCAAACCGAATAAATCAATTGATGTTTTAAAGCAGGGCTAGTCTCTATTAGATTTAATAACTTTATTATTTTCCCAATTTCTGAAGATTTCTAGAGAAAAGCATCCTTCATTTGCAGTGCATTGCAGACTCATGGGTTCATAAACCAAGAGGTTTCTTGGTACTGCTTTCCTATTATTATAGATAAATGAGCAGCTGCTTCTTTTATACTTTTCTAGTCCTCCTTCCTCTCCTATTCAACTGCTCACGTAAAAATACAAATAATTGATTTAGTATAATTGAGTCTGAAATGCTAATTACTAGAAAAACCAAGAAGATAAATGGTGTGTGTGTGAGAGAGAGGGAGAGGGAGAGGGAGAAGGAGAGAGAGAGAGAGAGACAGACAGACAGAGACAGAGACAGAGAGAGACAGAGAGAGAGAGTTAGAGAGAGAGAGAAGTACCATCTGTAATTGTACCACCTTTTTCCTGTAAATGAGGGCTCAGGATTTGGGAAAGACACTACTGGGATTCCCTAGGAGACCAAGCCATGCTGCTAAAGTCTTGGGGTGGTAAATTATGTCATTGTGTCTGTCATCTTTGCTCCTATTCCATTTAAGATTTTTTTTTACATCTCTTTTCCTTTCTTACAGATGTGAATGAGTGCACAGATTTTGTGGAAGAGGCCTGTAGCCATTACTGCAATAACTATATTGGTGGCTACTATTGCTCTTGTCCTCCTGAATATTTCTTGCATGAAGATAAGAAGACATGTGGAGGTATCATTGATTGACTGATAGATTTTCACTGGTGTGGAGACAATGACAAAATGTACATTGTGAGGTTAATAGTAATAATACTTTATTAAACTTGTATGCTGCTCAACTCCCAACGATTATAGCAGTTCACAACAATCAAACAAAGAAATTACAATAAAAGTCAATAAATGATAAAAGATGGCAAGCATGACATACTAGACTAAAGGGAATGAAGTGAGGGAAGCCTCTCTCCTCTTTGCCAAGGGCCAGGGCTTCACAGCTCTTCTAAACAACAGCTAAGTGGGAGCCATCTGGCTCTCTGTGGGGACCTCCTCTCAGATGGCATGTGCTGCTGCGGAGAAGACATGCTCCTGAGGTCCCAACAGCTGATATTGTTTAATCAAAGGTACCCAGAGTGCACCAACCCTGCATGATCAAATTGGGCAGGCAGGTGGTCCCTCAAATAACCATTCCCTCTCTGTAACCAGATTACACCCCAGGGTTCTCAAGGAACTGGCAGATGTGATCTCAGAACCATTGAACTATATTTTTCAAAGATCCTGGAGCACTGGGGAACTACCAGAGGACTGGAAAAGAGCTGATGTAGTTCCCATCTTCAAAAAAGGGGAAAAAATGGACCCAGGAAATAACAGACTTATCAGCCTGACCTCAATACCTGGGAAGATTCTAGAAAAGATAATCAAACAATGAATCAGCGAACACCTAGAGGCAAACAAAGTCATTACTAAAAGCCAACATGGGTTTGTCAAAAATAGATCATGCCAGACAAATCTTATTGCATTCTTTAACCAAGTGACAAAATTAGTGGATCAGAGGAATGCTGTGGATATAATTTACTTGGACTTCAGTAAGGCATTTGATAAAGTAGATCACAACCTACTACTTGATAAGATAGAAAAATGCGGGTTAGACAGCATCACCACCAGATGGATCCGTAGCTGGCTGACAGGCCATACTCAGTGTGTGGTCCTCAATGGAACCGCATCTACATGGACGGAAGTGTGTAGTGGGGTGCCCCAAGGCTCTGTTCTGGGCCCAGTGTTCTTCAACATCTTCATCAACGATTTGGACGAGGGGATAGATGGGGAAATCATCAAATTTGCAGCAACACCAAGCTGGCAGGAATAGCCAACACTCAAGAACACAGGCTTAGGATACAGAAGGATCAGACGTGAACACTGGGTGCTATCTAACAAAATGAAATTCAATGGTGAAAAAAGTAAAGTTCTACATTTAGGGTTCTTTTTGGTTTACATGTCCATATCATATCCCCCATGGAACGAGTTATCATCATTGACACTCTCCCTGGAGCCTCAGGATCACCTGTTAGTGAATTTATACTCGGTCGTCACACGACGTCGACGGTTTTTCCGGTTGTGTCACGATCCGACGTAATTGTCTCCCTATCTTAGTTCTAGTGCACAAGTATTAATACCAAATGTGCCTTGGTAAGGCCACATTTGGAATACTGCAACCAGTTTTAGTCACTACGATGTAAAAAAGATGTTGAGACTCTAGAAAGAGTACAGAGAAGAGCAACAAAGATGATCAGGGGACTGGAGGCTAAAGCATATAAGGAAAGGCTGCTGGAATTGGGTATGTCTAGTTTAATGAAGAGAAGGACGAGGGGGGACATGATAGCAATATTCCAATATCTAAGGGGCTGCCACAAAGAAGAGGGAATAAAGCTATTCTCCAAAGCCCCTGAAGGCAGGACAAGAAGCAACGGATGGAAACTAATCAAGGAGAGAAGCAACCTAGAACTAAGGAGAAACTTCCTGACAGTTAGAACAATTAATCAGTGGAACAACCTGCCTCCAGAAGTGGTGAATGCTCCAACACTGGAAGTTTTTAAGAAGAGACTGGACAGCCACTTGTCCGAAATGGTATAGGGTTTCCTGCCTGAGCAGGGGGTTGGACTAGATGACCTCCAAGGTCCCTTCCAACTTTATTATTATTATTATTATTATTATTATTATTATTATTATTATTATTATTATTATTATTATTATTATTATTATTATTATTATTATTATTATTATTATTATTATTGCAGAGAGATAAGGCTTGTGTTGTTGACATCACAATGCACATTTGTCTTGATCGTGATTAGAAATAGATTTGATTTGCATCTGCCTTTCTGTCCAGAGAGCATTCAAGGGGAAAGCTAACAGTAAAAAAATAAAAACACAAAGAATTAAAATCTGAACACTTCATTAAAATGTTAATTTAAAATGAAAACAGCTGACTATATAGAAGAATTTCCTAAAAATAAAAAGTAACCTCAACTCCCAAATGGATGGTTTTGCCATGAAACCAACATCAGAGGTTTTCTCCTGTGAACGTGACAAATAGACTATAGAAAATTGAAGAGGGCATCTTTTACTGACCCTAGTTTCCCAACACTTTCATATAGAAATAAGTGGGCAATCTAATTTTATAGATTAGATAGATAGATAGATAGATAGATAGATAGATAGATAGATAGATAGATAGATAGATGGATGGATGGATGGATGGATGGATGGATGGATGGATGGATGGATGGATGGATGGATGGATGGATGGATGGATAATACATAGACAGACAGACAGACAGATCTATATGGCTACCCATCTCACAACAGTGACTCTGTAAGGACCCCAGCTGTTTTGGTTTTAAAAATCGAGAATATGCAAGTTTACATCCTTACACTGAAGTCCAAACTGAGGTAGAACCAGGTAACTTTATCTACAGAATGATCTCAGCTTTCTGAGTTTTCATTCATTTGTACTCAAATTTATTTATTTATTTAAAACATTTATTCAGCTGCCCATCTTATATTGAATCCTGGTCTAACTTTCCTTCTGCTTCATCAGCTTTGTTCTCATTAAACAAGAGAACTGAGCAACCAGTGGGACCAAGAGTGTCCACAGTCCATTGTTTCCCTGTTCAATTGTCATTGATAGATGGAGCAAGAAAATTCCCATGTGCATTCAGGAAACAATCTGAGTCCACTAAATGTCTAAGATAGACCTTTTAATTGGTCCTCTGAATCTGCAAACCTTCCTACCAATGTTCAGCTTAAACCTCATAAGATCGCCTTCATTCTCAGGTCACGATGTTCTCTTAAACAGAATTCCAAATCTAGAGTATGCCCTGATGGATTGTGTGGGTCCACATGTGAATTAGAGTAAGTGCCTGGTTCCCATGGTTGATCTGAATTAATACGGGTCATTCTCTTATGAGTCTCTTTCAGAAATAATTGAGATAATTGAGATGGGAACTTGCAGGCAATACAGAGTTAACCAAGGAAGTTAATATCCAAAAACGTGCACTTCTGATAAATTATCTCCTGTTCTCCTGGGACAATGCCTTGAGAGGAGAAGCCAAGAGATTTAAATGCAGAAACTTCAAATGGCATGGGCAAAATATGAGGTCGGGTGGCAAACAATATAACTATATCCCTTTCATATCACCCAAAACACTGCTGTTCCCTACTTCAGCTTGCCTATGAATAGGCCTTTAAACCTATAAGGAGAGCCAAACAGTAATCACAAACTACTGTCAACATTATTTCTATTCTCTTTGCCATTGCTTTCCTTCTAAACTCTAGTGAATTGCAGTGGGAATGTATTTACTGAGCTGTCTGGGGAGATTACCAGCCCCAACTATCCCAGGCCGTATCCTGAGAACTCGCACTGTGATTACCGTGTCATTCTGGAACCAGGATACCAGGTGATCCTGAGCATTGGGAACAACGACTTTGATGTTGAGCCAAGTGACTTGGAAGGAACTTGCCCAGATACTTTGAGAGTAAGTGGTTGTGATGGCTCTTGATTATGAGTGTTTCCTGTTTAGACTGTATCCTAACGTTGTTCCTTATGAAAATGAGGGGCTGACTTGACTTTCACAATCCATTGAAGTTCTGGAATGTATGAATTGTAGCAATGTAGAATGTCTGAGCAGGAACATAGTGAATTTGCTTGTCCAGCATTGTGTTCAACTTTGCTCTCCTGCTAAATAAAATTAGAAGGGAGAAAGGAGGTCTATATAAATGGACTGAACTTCAGGCCTATGCAACAGAAGGACGCTTGTATACTCTTGACCTTGTTGGGAAGATTTGCTTCTGTTGCCTTAGATATCCCTTTCTCCTCCTGTTCATTCTTCTTTTTCCATACGTTTTAGTGCTCTCCTATAAATATAGATAATTTTCATTTATGATGCTAAAAGATCATCTCTGGGCCTATGTTCAAGAGCAGATAGATTACAGTGAAATCAAATAACAACTCTAAGAACTAATAGCAAAATCCTCTCCAAAGCATCACACTTTGAACCACAGCTGAAGATCTCCTCCTACATGTTTAGTTAATTCCAGCAAAATTTCTCAGATTTCTCTTTTTCACATTCAGTGAATAATGTTTTTTTGCAGAAATCAAATAAGGTGTCAGGATATTTCCATGCTCAAACAAGCAATGGTTATTTATTGTTAAAACCTGATTCCTTCAAATAAGGACAGACTTAAAATTTGTACTGTAGTGCTATAGGTACCCCAAATTATGTAATTTTCTATCACATCTTAGTTTCTCCCCAAAAGATTACTAGCTAATTATCATACCCAGTAAACACAGTGGGTATTGTGGTTTTTACTGTTTTTTCATGTGCCTAACGTAGTGGTAATTGTGTTTTGACACAATGTCACCAGCATGATATCTCATAGATAAAATACATGGTAACGATTGTGTCTGGGACTCTGAACACACACATCTAACTCTCTTATAAATATTTCAGACCATTTTAAGCAGTGGTGGGATTCAAATATGTGAACAACCGGTTCTCTGTGTGGATGCCATTTCCGGAAGTCCATTCTGGGCCTGGGCAACAAAAAATTAGCTACCGGTTCTGCCGAAGTGGTGAGAACTGGCTGAATCCCACCACTGATTTTAAGTAATGCTCAGCTTAAAAATTCCAGGAAAAAAAAAGAAGTTTTCAAGGCTTTTAGAAAAAAAAAAGGAATCAAAGATCTAAGCATCAGCTCATAGTTGTTCAGTAAGAAGTGATTAAATGGTATTCTGTTTTTATATCAAGGTCTATGTTGCTTGCATTCTGTGCTAATACTTAAATAATCAGGGAAAAGAGAACAGGAAAGAGAATTGTTCTTTGTTTGCTCTTCTTTATTTGAATAAAAAAAATCAATAAAAGTTCAGGGATAGTAATTATAGGCTGGGCCAGGGAAAGCAGTTGATTTGTTAAGGGAATGAAGTGAACCCATCGACATTCTTCTCTACCAAATCTTTAAAGACATCTTAGGATAGCAATGTGAGTGGAATATTGATGTCTCATACTTAATACTCTTCCATGGCATTTCTAATTGAAATAGCAATCTTCTTTTTAGGATCAAATCCAGACCAGTCAATATTTCATATCCAGTTATTGAGTAGGAAGATGATTGTTCTGAGTGTTCTGTCTTCTTTCAGTCTCTGGGAGGACTGACAAATGCTTAGCACATTCTTACATTATATGTCATTAAACGTATTTAATAACATCAATAACCTCCTTCTATTTGGGTTTTGCTGCTCTCTATGTTAATATTGAATGCGTCTGTAGTTGTATCTTTGATTCTTCAGCCGACAGCCCTTATGCTTCTATATGTCATTTTACATCTTGAATGCCTGACTCGCCCTTTGGACTACAGGTAGTTCTCAGCGTATAACCACAACCTAGCCCCAAATTTCTGTTGTTAAGCAGGACAGTTCTTAAGTAAATTTTGCCCCATTTTGTCACAGTTGTTAAGTGAATCACTGTAGTTTTAAAATTAGTAACACTAATGGTTATTAAGTGAATCTGGCTTTCCCATTGACTTTGCATGTTAGAAGGTTGCAAAGGTGATCACATGACCCTGGGACACTGCAACCATCATAAATATGAGTCAGTTGCCAAGCATCTGAATTTTGATGACGTGACCATGGGGATGCTGCAATGGTCGTGTGCAAAACGATTATAAGTCACTTTTTTCAATGCCATTATAACTTTGAACGGTCACTAAATGAACTGTTGTAAGTTAAAGACTACCTAATGCTTCTTTTTCTTTTTCTTTTTTTGAACCTTTCCCCAATATTCCTACTGGCTGTTCTGTAGTTTTTAGCAGGGGACCAGAATTTTGGTCCTTACTGTGGCAACACATTTCCTGGGCCTCCTAAAATCAACACTAAAAGCAACATTGTGGACATTTCCTTCCAAACGGACCAAGTTGTACAAATGAAAGGCTGGAAAATTCGCTACTTTGGGGACCGTGAGTAGATCTCTTCTGAGGAAACAATGGGACGTTTTCAAGTGCTGAATGATGGAACTGGGTTGTTATAACAGGACAAGTGTTTGTTTCCAAGGAGCAAACAGAAAAGATGATATTTGCAGAGTGATGAGTGAGTCACTATCAGCAAAAGGAATGTTGTCTTGGGGAGTTACTTACAAATTGTCCTGGACAAATTGTGAATAGATAGATTATGGGGGCTAGGAACTTTCTTTGAATTGTAGATGAAAAAACTTTTGAGTTGCTGGCTGGTTTGGAGTAGTTAATCCCCAACTCAGCCCCATTTAAAGCAGGAGCAGAGGCAAAATGCAGTATTGAATCTAGGATGCTTATTGTGCAATGTTTAGGAATGGAATTTCCATCCAAACTGGACTATGCAGAGCAGAGGGTTTTACCTCCTATGTCATTGCTACTTCATTTTCAGTTTCTTCCCCATTTTGCATAAAGTTAGGAAAAATAAGACAAAATCATCTCAATAAAAAAGAATAGGCAATCATGTTATATAAAGAGAGGGCATCTTCAAGGTCATTCTGGAAGGCAAGAAGGTTTTAGCAGAAAGCTTTGTAGTCGTGGTGGAGTGAAATAACCATTTCTTCCTTCTCCTTATTCAAAAATGCTAGGACAAAAAAGCACACTTGGTCTCAGTGAAGAAAGGATGAAGTATTGGCCATTTTACTAGTCCTGATTCTGACCATTAGTGATAGAAAAGAGGATTTGTGCTTGTATATATTTGTATAGGATAAGGTGATTGATTTCTGATTCCTTTTCCCTTTCTAAAGCAATGCCCTGCCCACAGACTGTTATTTCAAGATCTGTTCAGCATCCTCTAAGAGAACATTATGTCTTTAAGGATTCTGTGATGGTAACTTGCATAGAAGGCCATGAGATTGTAATGGTAAGTAATATGCGTTTTCAATTGAAGGCTCTCCATGAAGTTCCTGAAGATCCTGTTGGTACTACAGTGTGTCACTTGATTTAATCAAGTAAGAAACAGCAAACCATGCATAAGCATGTTACGTGACACAACCAGAGTCTCTGAGAAGTCATGTAAATAACATCATGCTATTTCCTTGAATGACAATAGCAGATATTCTACAGTTCTACAGAAGAGTTGGTTCTTCATTCTGATCATTAGTTAAGACCAGAAAACAAGTAGGCATTTTCATGATGGACAGGCAAAAGATCCTGTGGCTCAGCCACATGACCATGGAAGTCTTACCTGCCATTTCAAGACAGGAGGATCAGGAGTGCCGTCAGCAATCTCCCAGCTTAACTTGCCAACACTATACCTTTCTAGCCAAAGGTTGGGAAATAGAAGGAGTCCAGCACCTGCTCGGATGCTCATGTTGGTGAAGATCACAGATAAAAGAGGGAAAGAAAGAGTCCGTTACAAATTGTGATGATACCAAAGTGATGCTGTGAGTTCAATGAAATCATCCCAGAAATGCCACAGTTGCCACAACTGCACATTTGCATTAGAATCTCTGCATTAGAAACATAAATTGAACCATTGTGTGGTTTGTAACTTGCCTTCCCTCTGTTTTCTACAGAATCAAAGATAGATAAAGCATATGAATAAGTTTCAAAGAAATGAAGATTCCTAGCATCACCAGTTAAAAGACACGTTTCAGTTATTCAGTCTTTCATCCCCTTAATGGATTCCCCCCCCCCAGTGTTAAGAATAGACCAGGGGTAGGCAACCTTGGCTCTTTTATGACTCGTGGACTTCAACTCCCAGAACTCCTGAGCCAGCATGGCTCAGCTTGGAAACCTCTCCATTTCTCCTCAGCATGGCTGGCTCAGGAATTCTGGGAGTTGAAGTCCACGAGTCATAAAAGAGCCAAGGTTGCCTACCCCTGGAATAGACAGAACACGTGACAGGAAGCTTGGTTACGGAGGAATCCTGACTCTAACCCTAATCATGATATTTTGTGAATGAGAAAAAAGTTCATACAAAACTTTATTCATTTTTGTCTTAGGACAGTACATAAAAACCAACAGCGTTATTTAATACTCTATTATTAACATGGTTTCTCCTTGTTCCACTCACTGTCTTCAAGAATGGAGGTCATGCCTAAGGGCTTTTCTCAGAACTGTTATACATCTCTTTTGCTGACAAAAACTTCACCAGGATAAAATCTGCAGTTTCCACTGAGGATCCTTAAACTGCCTCAATACCATCTATTCTGGCGTGTGTGTGTGTGTGTGTGTGTGTGTGTGTGTGTGTGTGTGTGTGTGAGAGAGAGAGAGAGAGAGAGAGAGAGAGAGAGAGTATAGAGTGTTTTTGGATGTGCAGGGCATGTTCAGTAAAAACATTAGTTAAACCCTCTACTTTTACTTCCCTTCCCCCTTTTCAATATTTCCACATAGTAAGAAAACATCTGCCAGTTACGGTAAGGCTGTGATTGGGGGATGGTTTAGAGAAATGCCTTGATTTGTGAACTTTGCCATCTTTCAACAAAGGTTTGTGCCCAGCCTGTTAGATTGCTGATCTTCAGGCTGGGTTATCGCTCAGTAAAGTGGTGGAGCCTCTTCGGTAGAGCTCTCTACAGAGGATTAAATGCATTGAGAATTGCTGCTGTGTGGCAGTAGTTGAGGCATCTGTTCCTTGAGGTAGATGGTTGGTCTAGAAACATGAAATATAAAAATAAAAAGTGGAAGAAGAAAGGTGGGTGATCTTGTTTTGAAAGTAAGCTTGATGCTGTGTGTTTGTGTGTGTCTCTGTGTGTGTGTATGTATGTATGGGGAGGATGTCTCTCCCTCTCCCCCACTTGACAAGGTGGTCCTAACTCTCCTGGAGCCCACCAGATATCCACCTGGGAAATGGTGGGTAGTGGGAGAGTCCATTTTCAAAGAGCCAGGTTCTCCAACTCCCTAAAAGAGAATGGCCCCATGGAAGAGTCCCCAGGTTCCAGAGGAGGCGGTTTGCTTGTCTTAGCCTGAAATGGCTAGTAGGGGTCGACCCAATTCCTATGGCCTTCTGACAGCACTGCTGATAGCAAAATGAATTAAACCTTGTGCACCTTGAAAGTGCTGTGAAGTGCTGTAGGCTTAAGGGAAAAAAGCATTTCACCTCCACAATAAGACAGGATGATTTTTATATATACTGCTCACAAAAATAAAGGGAACGCAAACCGCTGCAGTTCCATGGTAAAATGTTCCCTTTATTTTTTTGAGCAGTATAGATATCAGAGCTTAATTCAGTGTTCAGCAACTAAGAAATGCATCTCTTTCTTCCTCATTCCTTTGGAAGTATCCCAGGGCCTTTCCCTACTTGCACCTAGCTACAAGATAAACATGCCATGGCAACCTCAGGTTTTTTTCCTGCCGTGTCTCCATGACAGGAGTTCATCTCATCCCCACCCCATACCACAGGCATTTTTAAACACACACACGTGCACACATAGGGACATATATTTATAAAAACTTTGAAAGAGAAAAGTAAGGAAAGTGAAATAATAAGTGCAGTGTAAATGGAGGAAAAAACATGGAGAGAAATAGAAAAAGGGAAAGGAAGGGAAAGGAAAGGAAAGATTATAAAAAAAGCATTTCCGATCTTAAGAAACTTCAAATACATTTATGCTTTACCTTCTCTTTTTAAGGTTACAACATAGTTTCCTTTTTTCTATAATCTATCCTTTCTAATCACCATACCCATAAATCATGATAATTTTTTTCAGCATAAAGTCCATAATGGATTTCCAGTCACTAATAATTGTGGTGATTACCCTTTCTATAATCAAACAAGTCAGTTTTGTCATCTCTGCTAATTCTGTCATTTTCACAAGCTCTGCTATTTCTGAATCCTTCTTTCAGCCACGAGGCAGTACAACATCCTTCTACTCTAGCTGTCAAAGCAATGGAAAATGGAGCAACTCAGATTACAGTTGTGTTCGTAAGTGATTTACAGTGGTCTCTGGTATATTTTCTTATGGTCTCGAGATGATAATGATATATGATGTGATATGATATGATATGATATATGATATGATGAATAAAAATGTGAGAAGCAGGCACAGATGTCTTGCCAAAGCAGTGAAAGTAGATGAATTGCAGGCCTGAGAGAAACTTTAAAGAAACATCCTGCTCTATATAATTTTCCTCACATCGGTCAGCGGGTCTGTGACAATTCGCCACAGCCAACTCACCACGGCCAACTTGCCATGAGACAACTCAGTGCAGGACAGGAGTTACACTGATATCAAAGAAATGGTGGAATAGAATCATTAAAGAAAGGATGCAGAAGGAGGGATAGAATGAAATGTGAACAACAAAAATTAAAATAATTTTTATTTATTTTAAATAATTAAATTGATTTGTTAAATTGTCCTGCGGTGAGTTGTCCTGTAGCGAGCTGGCGATGATGAATTGTCCTACAGCAAGTTGGCTGTGAAGAGTTGGCCATGGTGAGGTGGCCGCTGCGAGTTGGCTGTGGCGAGTTGTCCCATTCCGCCTGTCAGCCTTCCATTACATATCCATGTTGGATCAACCACAGAGTATGAGTGTTATCTTTGATAGCTGCTGTATAGTCAAAAGGTGTGGAGGTTGACAAGGATTCAATCATTTAATGCAGTATAGTTTGAAAATCTTCATAAGACATGAAATACTCACATATGGAAGTTTTCCTTGAGGAGGCCTATTCTAAACAAATAATGCAACATGGGATGGATGAATGTATGCAACATAAAGCAAAATGGAAATGGAAAGGTGAACTACTCTAATCCTGACTCACCTTGTTTTATTTTTTGCTTGCAGCTGTAGATTGTGGTGTGCCTGATCCCATTACACATGGAGATATCGTTTATCCATCAGGATCGGAGGAGACAGAGTATCAAACCATTATCCGTTACGAGTGCCACAAACCTTATTATACCCTGAAGGGCAAAGGTATCTCCCATCCTTTCTTTCTCCTGATGAAACCTTCCAGTTCAGAAATTAAGAACATCATTTTGCTCATTTCACAATTGCCGGCCTCAGGAAGACAGGATTGGGGTGGGAAGGTTAAGTAGTCTGGGAACCACCAAAAGTACCCTGTCAAGAATTGAAGTATCTGGTTGTTTCCGTTATGTCCTTATATTACCTCAGCATCTCATATGCCACATTCTACTTTAACATTTGTTTAGTTAGAATGCCATGCTCATTAATAATTTGTTTTGTCTTTAATACTTTTAAAGCAAAATGGAAGGCTTTTGGTGAAATTATTGGTTAAAATATTTGGTAAATCAGTTGATAAATTCATTTTAAAATTGTTATTTTTCTTTTTAACACATCTCTGTTGGGTTGATAGCTTTTTGGGGTTTGTGATACATACTATACTCTTTTAATCAGAATTAATGATAGTATTGTATTTATAAATAATTGCTCTATTTCCAAAGAAACGTTTCAGTGTTCAGCCAATGGAAAATGGGTGGATGAAGAAGGGAATACACAGCTTCCACTTTGTGACCCAGGTATAGTCTATCTCATGTATAATTCTCTGTGCTTTTCTCTGAAAATGGAGATCATATCAAACTGCAATTACAAAATAATAATGTTGCCTCTCTTTTAATTCTAAAATAACAGTATTTTTCCTGGTAACTCTTTTGCCAGAGAAAATTCTTAAATTGCTTCTCCAGTTCAAAGTTTTGTAAAATTGTAATGATCTGCCAAGCTCTGAATTTTATTGGTTTAATTTGTTTTGGAAGATTTAAACCTTCCTATAATACCAACCCTACCAGAAGTTCTAAAATAGGAATCATTTGGGGAATTCTTGTTTGGACATTGGAAAAAAAATTGTATAAGGAACGATCCAAAGAGGAACCAAAGAAGAATCTGAAGCTTGCTTGGATATCCCCGGACTTAATATTTTCTATATGGGTCAAGGATCTTGCTCTGGATTATAGGTTTAGAGGGCTGTGCCTATAGAGTTGAAGAATCTATACTATTTTTCCTTTTTCTCTCATGTTAATCAAATATACCTGTTTCTGATATTTATTCTGCTATCTCTCTGACTAAAACTGGTTTCTTCTGTTTTCACTTTAGTTTGTGGAGTTCCCAGTAGAAGTATTGAAGAAATAGGGAGAATTTATGGAGGCACAGTTGCTAAAGAAGGAAATTTCCCTTGGCAAATTTACTTTGATGAGCCACGAGCTGGTGGAGCCCTTATTTCAGAACAATGGATACTTACTGCAGCTCATGTGCTGGATGGTTCTCCATACCCAGTTCTCTATGCTGGGTTGTTCAGTGTGAGTCAAAGGGCTAAGAGTGATGCTGAGCCACTGAAGATAACGGCTATATTCATTCATCCTCAATGGAGCAAAAGTGGATCAGAGACCAGGACAAACTTTAATCACGACATTGCTCTGTTAAGATTGAAAGAACCTTTGACAATGGGCCCCACTATTTCACCAATTTGCTTACCTGGTGCTTCTTCAGAATATGATCCACAAATAGGGACCTTGGGCTACATAGCTGGCTGGGGCAAGACTGACGCTACTCGAACAAGTCCTAAACTATCAGTGAGGCTCAGGGCAGCTTGGATCCCCGTGGTGAACATGAATACATGCCAAAATGTGAAAAAAGAGACTTCAGCTTATGTCTTCACAGAAAATATGATTTGTGCTGGGGATGGCCGGCAGGACAGTTGTCAGGGAGACAGTGGTGGGGCATATGTTATCAAAGATCCCCAAAATGAGACGCACTATTATGTTGCTGGACTGGTTTCGTGGGGCCCAGAATGTGGCACTTATGGTCTCTACACTAAAGTGGCAAATTATGTGGATTGGATCAGAAAAGTCATGAGGGAGTATAAAGAACCTGAAGAGTAGATGCTTCCTCTCTTCATGCATTATCTGTCCACTAGGCACCCACTGACTCTCAAGAGGTTTTGTCCCATCCATAAATCTAACATACAAAAAAATGACATTTGCAGCTAAGATCCATATTATTGCAAGCCGCTTTACATTGCCTGTCTCCTCTTTCTTCACTTTTTCTAGTTTTTAATTGCTTTGTCTTCTCTTCCTTTAATTAGATTTCATTTATTTTCTTCTTTGTGAAGCTGCTATAGACCAAATTACTTTTAATTCATGCAAGAGTATTGCATTTTTAGTCTCCTACAGTTTTGACCATTGGAAAAGGAATAACCAACTACATCATAGATCTGGAGCACCCAACCACTGTGGGCAGCAGAAAATTCTAGAACATAATATACCAAAAGGTTCTTTTTCATTGAAATGAATGGCAGCCAGCCTTGTGCAAGAGAACAGTCTCACGGATTGTCCCCAAAGGAGCTCTTTGTGTCCTTATTGCATAAAAACTAACATACACTCATGAATATTTTGTTTGTAGTTTTTCCTTTTTCAAGTCTTTGTATGAGATAGCTTCACCAGGTAATATCAGTGTCAAACAGTGGAAATATCTTCTTTTGTACATGGAAAGTAAAGGTAAAGGAATCCCTGTAGATTTTATTCTGCTAGTCATTAACCGACTTTATGGCCCATCTCCGTTTCTAGGCCATTGAGCCAACATTGTCCAAAGACTCTTCTGTAGTCATGTGGCCAACTTGACATCATGTCAGAGTTTGGCACATACAGCAAAACAAGGAACACTTACCTTCCCACCAAAATGATACCTATTTATCTGCTTGCATTTACATGCTTTCAAACTGCTAGGTGGGCAGGAACTGGGGCAAGTGACAGGAGTCTGTCACAAACTGGCAGAGTATAGACTTTCTCTGGCATCTATTAAGCCACTGAGCCACCCCACCTCCTTTCATATAGATCACAAATATAATTTCAGTCCAGCACCAATAATGTAATATATACAAAAGAACAGAAACAAAAAGAGGCACTAGACTAGGAAGAAGGTCATTTAAATGAAATTTACTCAGGGATCTAAGTGTCAGAAAATGGATTCATCTGGAAAGGCGTTCTGATATTTAATTGTGCTCTTCTAATGCTTTTCACAATCATGTTTCCCTTTTTGAATAACATTGAAATGTACTAAGCCAAGTCACATCAGCACAATGCTAGAGAGGCAGTTTTGTCTTTGTTCTCTCATGCTACAACTTCAAGCACCTGCGTCTTCTGACATAAAGTTGTTGCCGATTTTTAATGGAGAGTCATTCCTACCTGAGAGGGAAGAAAAGCAGGCATGCATTTAATTAAAAATCTCCAGGAAATAAAAGCGGGTCATTGCCTAATGCCCAGTTTATATTTATTTATTTATTAAATTTATACGCTGCTCATCTCACTATCAAGCCCCTCTGGGTGATTTACAATTTGCCCCCTGAAATACAAAACAATTAGAACTTTAAAAACATTAAAAACATTGAGCATTAAAAGTTAAAACATTAATATTAACAACAAACTGGATAAAAAAGACCAATACATAAACAGAGTGGAGGTGGAGGATTCTCCTAATCTACTAGCCACCTCCAGAATGGACATCCCCATCAAAGCCCCTAACCAGTTGGCAGAGCCAGGTTTACAGGCCAACAGGGTGTGGGTGACTTCATCTCAAGGGGCATGATGTTCCAGAGGGTGGGAGGCATTGCAGAAAAGACTCTTCTCCTGGACCCCACCACCCAAACATCTTTGGCCAATGGGGTCCATAGCATGCCCTGCCAGAGTGAGTGGCAGCCATAACTGTGTCACCTGGAATGGAGATAGCAGCATACTGATGATGCCACATCCCATGGTATCAGATAATTTCACCCAGTGACTTCATGTAGGTGTTGAAAAGGAACAAGGAGAGTACTGAACTATTCAGCATGTCACAAAAGAGCAGCCATGGACTGGATCACTTGCTCCCTATCAACACTGATTGGGACCCGCCTTAGAGAAGAGCCAAACCAGGACCATACTGGTCCAGTTTGATCTAGTGGTTATGGCACCAGGCTAGAAACTGGGAGAACGTCAATTCTAGTCTCACCTTAGCCTTCAAAACCATCTGGTTGTACAACCAGGTCAATGTCCCAACAACAACGTCATCTCTTTTGTCCTTTTTCTTCCTCATAATCTATACAAACGATAAAACTCAACAAATAATTTTTTTATTGTTTCCACCCGATTTTGTTTGTTTGTCGGTCGGTCGGTCGGACCTATCCGGTGACATCCGATGATCTCTTCGAAGTGTCATAACACTCTTCAGTCGTGCCCCCCCCCGAGAAAGAAATGTTTTGGGGGATATTTTAAAAAAGCAGAATATATTTCCCCAAAGGAATAATAGAAAATCTTAGGCAGAAACACCCCCCCCCCCAAGTTCTCCCTGCGTCAAGCTGAGACCAGCTCTGTAGAAATGGAGATTTGATAATCCTTTCAGAAAGATTGCAGCCAGGAATCTTAGAGCTGATGGGGTTAGAAAGACAAAGATCCCTACAACCAACAACCCCGCACCCAAAAAATCCAACACAGTACATAGCCATCAGCCCCAGCCCCAGGGAAGCAGGACATGATCTTTAGGACATAATAGGATTAACCCACCACAATCAGAATACTAAAAGAGCACACTGAACCTCAGGTCAAAGTTCATGCCACAGGAGTAACTCCAAACACAAAAGCCCAAGAAAGTATAAAAACCCATCACTCCCAGCAATGTGGTCAGCTGCTCCAGAGCCATGTGTCTTGTGGTTCTGCTCTTCAATAAACTACAACCTTCTTTCTAAAGCAGTCTCCATTTTGTTTATTCCTGGCTTGGACTGGACCCTGATGAAGATTTTTCTTTCAACAGTATCTTCTTTTGTAATTAAATTGAATTAAAATAAATAAAAGGACAGAAAGGAATTGTTTTAAATATGAAAGTAATGATCCCCATAAGACAAACTCTTTTATTAAAAATAACACCATATGCTGAATGATGAGCACAGCCTTGTTCTTCACCCAACACAGAGTCTGAGAATGAGGCAGAATATTGCCAACTGCTAAATATTTTTGAGCAACTTCCATTCAGAATTCAGAAATTCAATTGTGTTATGTTAGTTGCATAAACCAATGACTTATTTACTCCTTTGTGGATCCTTGTGTATTTATTCATCATCACTTCCCAGAACAGAACTTTGTGTACTCTGGCCCACAGTTCTTTTCTGCTGCAAATATATATCAAAATACTTTGTTTTAGACTGCAATCTTGTCCTCTTCAGAGATTGCAATATTCACTGACAAGGTTTTCTCTGTTTCAAGGTCCCACAGTCCCAATTTAATATGTTCCTGCTGTTCCTGTTACTTCTGTGAGGAATATCTTTCTCCTTTTTCTCAAAATGTTGACGTCAGAAGTAGCTTTACACAGGATTAGGCACATTTGGATAATAAATTTCCCACCAGACACAGAAACAATACTAAACTCTTTCAAAACATCTTAAATAAACCAAAAACCCAGCAGCTCTGGAAGAAAAAAAAAAGGACTGTCTACAACATACAGTGTAAGGACTGTAACAGCCACTGTGCACAACAGGCAAAAAACTAGCAAAGCGCATCCATGACAACCATGTAGCAGTCAGAGAAGACATGATGAAATCTCCTTAATTTTGCAATACATGGATAGACTCAACCATAGTTTTAACTGGGAAACTGTGAGCATCCTAGACCAAGCCAAGTCCAAAAGGGCCAGAGAATTCCTGGAAGCCTGGAATTCAAGACAAATCAACCATTAACAGGCATATAGACATAAACAACATCTACATACCATTCAAATGAGGCAATCAAAAAGCCAAAAAGGAAACAAAAAGACCTATACACCTCATCATAAATCAGCATCCAGATGAGAAGAGGTTAACACTAGACCAACAATCAAGAAGTAAATAATACCCCAATTAAGGAACTATCAACTCAGACAAATAAGCTGAAGGTAAACAATAGCCTAATCAAGAAACTAGACCACTCCCACCAGCATTGTCAGGGTAGGCAACTACTATATAAAATGAAAGCAAACCCCACTCCCTTCTAGCACTGATAATGTTATCTAGTTGGGATAATGAAGAAAAAAAACAACCAAACTCAAAGAGCACCAAGGACCCCACAATATTACAGACAACAGGGAGAAAGCAGAGCTGCTTAACTCATGTTTTGTGTCAGTCTTCACATAAAAAGAAACTATAGCCCAACATACCCAAAAAAAAACCACTGCAAAAGACATACTAGAAAAAAAAATTAAAATAAGCAAGAAAATGGTAAGAGAACTCCTATCCGACCTTGATGAGTATAAATCACTGTGACCCGATAGATTACATCCCAGAGTTCTGAAAGAGCTGGCAGATGTTATCTCAGAACCATTGCACCACATTTTTCATAAATCACGGAGCACAGGTTAAGTACCCGAGGATTGGAAAAGGGCTGATGTGGTCCTCATCTTCAAGAAAGTAAAAAAATGGACCCAGGAAACTACAGACCAATCAGTTTAACATCAATACCTGGAAAGATCTTAGAAAAGATAATCAAAAAACAGATCTGTAAACAACTAGAAGCAAACAAAGTCATAACTAGTAGCCAGCATGGGTTTGTTAAAAACAGATCAGGCCAAACCAATCTTATCTCATTCTTCGATAAAGTGACTAAACTAGTAGACCAGCGAAATGCAGTGGATGTACTATACTTAGATTTCAGTAAGGCATTTGACAAAGTAGACCACACCCTACTCCTTGGTAAGCTAGAAAAAGGTGGAATAGACAACATCACCACCAGATGGATTTGTACCTGGCTGACAAATCGTACTCAATGAGTATTCCTCAACGACACTACATCCACATGGAGAGAAGTTAGCAGTCGGGTAACACAAGATTCCGTCTTAGGCCCAGTACTCTTCAATATATTTATAAATGATTTAGATGAGAGAATAGAAGGGGAACTTATCAAATTTGCAGATGACACTAAACTGTCAGGAGTAGCCAACACCCCAGGATCCAAAAAGATCTTGACAAACTTGAACAATGGGCCCTATCCAACAAAATGAGTTTCAATGTGGAGAAAAGCAAAGTCTTACACTTAGGCAGGAAAAACCAAAGGCACAAATACAGATTGGGTGAGACCTGGCTTAAAAACAGTAACTGTGAGAGGGACCTTGGAGTTCTAGTGGATGATCACTTAACTATGATCCAGCAGTGTGCAGCAGCAACCAAAAAAGCTAATGCAATCCTGGGTTGTATAAACAAAGGCATAGAATCAAGATCACGCGAAGTACTAGTACCGCTTTACAAAGCCCTAGTAAGACCACACCTGGAATACTGCAGCCAATTTTGGTCACCATATCACAAAAAAGATGAGAGTTTGGAAAAAATTCAGAGAAGAGCAACTAAGATGATCAAAGGCCTGGAGGCTAAAACATATGAAGAACGGCTGCGGG